GCAACTCATCGAATCGCCTCTAAATACATGTGTGATACGTAGCAGCATCGTCTGCTGTCTCGAACCACGTGATAAACTTTGATCAGGTGATGCGGGCAATCATATTATTATTAGCGCTCTCTGCAGCGACGAGCGCAAGCCGCTGCGTTTTTGTTGTTACGCACTCATACTACAGCATTCGCTTCCTGTCTCGCTCTTCGTTTAGCTTTTCTTCTTCTCTTTGGTTCTGTTGTTTTTCTGGTATATTTTTACCTCCCATTAGCCCGGGATACTAAATATAGTCAGCCTTGTTATTTATATAGTAACACCGTTTCCTAGTATAACCTCTTTGCCATGGATTATGAATATACATTATGTCACTCGGGGCAGCTGAGCATCAAAGGTTTATTATAGTAACAAGTCGCCATACTTTTATTAGCAGTCACATACTGGTTTTACAGTTGGTTGCTTATTATAGCTTTTCAGTCAACGTCAGAATCATTAAGTTTTTTTCTTTTTTTCTGGTTACGAGAGCTACAACATAATCTTTTTGATTACCTTAGCCATGTGGTGCACCTGTTCGTCGCATGTGTGCGCAGGTGTCGGCTAATGAATCGGTGGCACTTTTTAGCTGTTTCCTTCACTGGTAAGAGAAGTTATCATTTTAAGTACACATGCTGTATGAGATTTGCGCGATCGTACGCCCCTCCGTCGGCGCCTGCAGGTTCTCTTCTCGGGCGGTGCGGACGTGAGTTATACTTAATGGCCGGGACACACGACGCCTTAAAGATCATACCACGTCATCGCGACGAGCTGAGTCACGCTTGAGCTTCGTCCGTCCTAGAGATGCCCAAGTCATCAACCTGGGCTGCGGGTTGTGACATCTCGGCATTTAACTCCTCTTTCCCGTCACGGGGCGCGGCGCGCATCCTTCGCCCCGTCCTCCGTCACGGGCGTCGCCACTGAGTGCGCAGTACATCCTACTTGTTTATGTAAAATTAAGAACTAAGAGCTGCCATGGCGTTATAAACAGTACAAAAAGTTCTCCATTTCGTGACGACTAAACGATGAACGGATTTCCGACATCACGTGACGAGACGACAGAGAGAGAGGCTGGAGCAGCGAGCGCGTGTCTACTATAATTAAACCGACCTCAATAACGAGGGAGGGATGACACCTGTTACCTCAGCTCTGACCGTGTGTGAGTGAGTGTGTCTGTGCGGGTGTGTATGAGTATGTGTGCATGTGAGTTTATATTTTGTGTTTGGACGTATGCTTGTACGTGTATTTGATTGTATGTATATGAATGTTTTATATGTAAGTATATTGCATTTGTTCACACGCATTTCCACCCGCTGCGCCACACAACGCCCGCCTCTCACATCCATATCCCGGATGTTCCGCCTTAGTGGGCCATACCGCACCTCCCTGTCCTGTCCTCGCAAGTTTCCCCACCCCTTATCCTCTCATCCTCCGTCGCAGTCCACCTCTCATGTCCTTCGGCTTATTGAGACGCCTTTCCCGTCGGCCCCTTCGTCAGGCAACAGCGCGGCATAAGTCATGGTTCCTTAGGCATCTCGAAGCCGATCCCTCCACCCACCCTCCCTCTCCTCGCTTTCCGGAACGCCGGCCTCCCTGACAGCCTTATGAACCGGTCTGTTGGCCAGGTGGGTCCAGGGCCGCCTTTATCCATACCCACCTCCTCGGCCTCCCCTGCTTATCCACTCCGACCCACCCTTGGCATCCACTCCTACGAGCTACACCATGTACTCCACCCACTCGCCTTCCCACCTTACATCCACGCTGCTACCAGTCTCAACACAGCTTGAGGGTAGAGCAGGGAAAGAGAGGGAGAGAGAGAGAGAGAGAGAGAGAGAGAGAGAGAGAGAGAGAGAGAGAGAGAGAGAGAGAGAGAGAGAGAGAGAGAGAGAGAGAGAGAGAAACAGACGAATAGACAGACAGACAGGTACAGGGACAGAGACAAAAGAAAAAAATGAAGAGAAAGGGAATGAGAAACATATAAATAGATAGAAATAGATTTAATTGCATTGAATTTGAAACGTTAATTCATCATATATACATCGTATGTATATGAGCAGGCTTAGAAAGAGAGAGAGAGAGAGAGAGAGAGAGAGAGAGAGAGAGAGAGAGGGATAGAGAGATAGAGAGAGAGAGAGAGAGAGAGAGAGAGAGAGAGAGAAAGAGAGAGAGAGAGAGAGAGAGAGAGAGAGAGAGAGAGAGAGAGAGAGAGAGAGAGAGAGAGAGAGAGGGGGGGGGGCAGAAAGGAAAAAAAAAAATAGTCATGCAAGAGCCAACGGCGGATATACAGTTAGAACTCCTTATCGAATCAATAATAGACATGGGAACTTTGTAAAAAAAAAAAAAAGAAAAAAAAGTACACTTCATTAGTCACGAGGTTCTTATTTAATGGCTCTACTTGGCACATCACCAGCAATTTCCTTTTTTTTGCGAATGATTACTTTTTCCCTCGCCTCGAAGTCTCATGACCCAGCTCCTTTACCGCTAGGCTGTGCGAGGCGCCGCGGGGATGGGGCTGGCGTGTGATTATTTTCCGAACCTTCTTCTTCGGACGTCTGTTGCTAGGAGAACCTGTTGGTACTTCGAGATCGGGGATTCAGGCGATGAGTATTGGTTTTCGAAGTGGTGGAGAGTGACCCAGTTTAGGAGTTTTTTCTTTCCTTTACTTTTTGTAGTCTAGGCAATGTAAAGGCGTAGTGCAGAGGTTGAAATGTGTGTGAACAATTATTATATGTTCAGCAACAACTCCGACAGTCTCTTGATCTTTTTCCTCTTTTCTTCGTTCTCTCTCTTTGTTTTTATGTTTGTCTGTCTTTATGTCTCCCTCTCTCTCTTTGTCTCTATGTCCGTTTCTCTCCCCCCCCCCCCCTCTCTCTCTCTCTCTCTCTCTCTCTCTCTCTCTCTCTCTCTCTCTCTCTCTCTCTCTCTCTGTGGTCAAGTCTGGTGTGCGTGTGTATATATAAGCGGTGACTCACTCGAGCAGTGAGCGGTGACCCCATGACAGCAAGAACACCTTTACCGCTAACTGAGTAGATATTTCTTTTCTTTTTTCTTTCCTGAGTAACTGGCAAGCTCACACAAGCTGTTGTGAACACTATGAGCGAGACCTACTCCTGGGAGTGACAGCAGAGGAATATAATTCGGAGGAACAGAT